CATTAGCTGAGCTCAACTTCACAACACACATAACCCCAGTGCCCCCGCGGAAGTAGGTTAGGTTTAGCGGATTAAAGTCCCGCAATCCAGTTTTCGATGCTTCCTCCTACTATAACCTCACTCATCATTTCACTACACTCTAAAACGTTTTTAAAAATATTGGACCCATCTTTGGAAGGGTTTTTGTATATTACGAAGAACGCGACACAACACTTTAACTTCTTTGTCTAATTATATGTACAATATTCATATTTTTAATATAAATCAGGATCGAGCAAGGTCGATAACCTGTTCAGTTACCTCAGAATGCATTTTAGTTCACATAGAAGAGTATTACTTTAGCACCTTCTAAATACTCTTAGAATTTGCTATCTTTAAAATGAATTAGTACTTTGTTTAGTTTGACATTTGTATGTATTATATTATTATATGATAAAAATCAACTAATAATTGTTTAGAAATACTTCAACTCTCTAATAGTCTCTAAAATACTTTTTTTTTTTTTGCTGAATTTCTAAAAACGCATATAATGTAAACTTTTCGAGGCAACTAGTGGTGTTTTAAATTTTTTTTGAAATATACCGAAACACCCTAATGTGATTTTTAATCAATTCAATTTATTAAAAAAATTCCAAGTTTCATTGAGTGATTTTGAATTATTTTCTTTGTATTTTAAGTAGATGTAACTTAAATTTTTACTGAAAATAATAATAACAACAACAATAGTCCCATTACTTTCAGACAAAAAATTCTGTTTTTACAAACAAAAAAAAAAAATTATTGAGTATGCGACAAACTAAACATTTAGCAGAAAAAAATTGCTCTCGTACAAATCCCAAAAATATCTTTAACATATCTGTAGAGAAAAATGGACATGATTGCATAAGAATTTCATTCCAAATAGCGATAGTTATCAACCACCACCACTTGTCACGCACCCATGACCCGCGCAACTAACCACCAACACGTCACTCCCCAAAAATAGCAACAGTCAAACTTGCACCCACCACCACCAACATGGCATTGCATATAGCAAGGCCTATTAAATACAACAAGTCTCAGCGAATACAACAACAACCAACATGCTGCAAAACATCCTCACTGACTTAACTGCCAAATTATTGAGGATTACCCTAAACTTTCAATCAGCTTATCAGTGATAAACCGCCAGCGGTGGGTGGGCACACCTATATTTATACATATATATTTCCATGTAAATACACATGTTTGTACGTATGTAGTATGTAGGTGAACGCAAATTGATGACTGATCAGTAAGTGGCTCTGAAGTAAAAATTTCGCTATAAACGCTTCGTGATCAAACGCAAAGGAAGTCACATTTAAATATTAATTAGCTCGCTGGTGGCGAGGGGAAAACTACTGAAAGCTATCAACAATGGCTCCCATTTGCAATAATAGCGTCAACACGTGATGCAAGCGACTCTACGAGCGGCAAATGACAGCAGCTGTTGCTTGTGGTGAAAAACTACGTGCGAATGGCGAATGTATGTAAGTAGGAGAGTATATACAGTTATGCACCACTTGCAAAGCAAAATAAAAAGTAAAAATAATGCAAAATTATTAGTATAACAAGTAACTCTTCGTCATGTTTTGTGGGAAATTAATCATCGCCAAATTAATCATTGCACAAAGTTGAAATTTAGCTGTCGCAGGGCAATGAGCGCACCTTTCGCGCGAATACTAGCGATCGGCGGGCACAAAGAAGATATGTGCAAACACATTTTAGATATTTCACCCATTGATGGGCATACTTAGGCACGGAGTAGTGCCACTAATGTGCTGGCAGTCAGTCAGTCCAGCAGCCCCAAAGGGCGACAATACAAAAGCCATTAGATAATTAAAGCGTTTGCGGTGTAGCGGGGGAGTATAGAATATAAAAAGCTCATTGCTGTGTAAATTGCACACGCAAATGCACAAAAATAATAGCTGACGTACAATATTTTTTATTTTATACAAAATAGTTTTAGTAATATCTCTTTTTCGCTTCGTATTTGTATGGTTAGGAGACTTTTCAATTCATTACTCGGCAGCATTATTTTGAACTCTGCTTTGTTAGTGGGAAACAAAGTATGGAATGCACAAATAAAATGCTGTTGTTTTCCAGAATAGTATAAAAATTTACACGAATGAATTATAAGTTTGAAATATTGTCCCTGTGAAAGACACGTTCCATCCATAATGAAGAATTTGTTCGTGCAGCTCAACGGTTTTATATAAATTAAAACAAATCTGTTGCTAATGGGGTACTTGAATTGTTCTGAAACACTTGGACACATTTAGCTTGCTCAAGAATTTTAGAATATTTATTCGGAACACATAAAAACAAAAAAAATTTAATACTCTACCAAGGTTTTCAATTTTATCTATAATATATATCTATAAGTAAATTTCTTATATGTTATAAATTTTAAACAAATCAGATGAAAATATTATATTATTAAAATTATTACTAAATCATTTTATTTTTTGTATTCAATTATTTTATTTTATACAAATTATTAATTAATTTTAATTTAACATAATAAGCTATTTCAAGGTATTTTATGCAATATTTCGTCACCTATGCAAAAAATATATAATCAAAGAAATCGAAATAGAGTTTTTATTGCTTACGATTCATTACAACATACAATATTACATATTGTTGCATACAATTTTCAGATATAACCATTCCATAACCAAAACTAAATTTTTTTTCAGTATGAACGGCTCTATTATATTGTTTTTCCTTTGTTTATAAGCTTACGAAAGGTAGGGTTATGTTATTTTGAATTTTAAGTGATGATTTGTACTTTTTATAAAGCAATATGTTTGATTTCGATTTGATTTTTCATAAATTTAAATATACAGCAGTTAGAAGCTATTCGGCTGTTGTTTAAGCGAACTTTTAACTTTACCAAATTTTAATCGTATCTCAAAAAAGGCTTGTACGAATGACTTGAAATTATAGAGTATATAGAGCATATCGTCACTTAAAATCCAAAATTACGTAACAACATTTTTGAAAATTTACAGTGGCGTGAATGAAACACGAAACAAAATGGATCAAGAGTGAAAAAGATTTAATATTGGTTAAAACTTGTTCATATATGAGCGCAGAACCTGAAAATGTTGCCATGTGTAATATTATGTAAGTAATTTGAAGTAGTGAATCGTAATCAGTGGGATAAGTTGTCCTTTTTTTGAGCAGAGGGTGTTCAGCACGCTGTAATTCATGATCTACATAATATTTTTTACTTCAAGTTTATATTTATACATTCCAAATATATGCAAAAAATTATAGTTTATCTTAAAGCTTTATCTCTTTACTGGCCTCCACAAAAACCTTAAAAATCACCAAAAAACAGGCCGTCACGCTGACCCCCTAAACTATTTTATTTTATTATTTTGCGACAAACTAACTAACTTTTAACATATTACTATTATAATGAAGCTGATTTTCTAGACCACACTTACACGTAGTTAACTTGTGGAACAAAGAACAGTATGAATCATAACATAGATACTACTCAAATACAAAATACTAACTCAAGATAAGTTGATTTAACGAAAATCGGCGATTAGAAAAATGGCGAATGATCGCACTATCTTATAAATATTGTTCTCCGCTATTGCTGATCATTTCTAACCACATTGAAAATACAATAGATATTTAAATTTTGTTTGTTTTTTCGATGCTGGAATCCTTCAATGGATATATTTTTGAAATAATATTATCGCAAATGTGCTTTTTCGAACTAAAAAAGGAATATAATCTAAACATATTACGAATCTAGTAGAATACACCTTGGACATACAGTGTTTTCCATTGGCCATTTTTAATATGTCACGATCTGTAATATTTTTTCATTGTGTCAGTAAGTTTGGAGATTCGATAATTTCAAGAAATTGTGACTTTGGATGGCCTCCAAGAAGATTAACTCTTGTGTTATTTAATTTAAGTACTCTTGTGGGGTTATTTGAAGTTATTTCACTATTCATGACATACGACTTGGTTTAGTGAAAAGAGTACTCGAAAATTGGGTTCATCGAGTTTGTTTCTGCGTCTTCTTCATTGCATCGATTGTACTTCATTAAATATAAAACAAATAAAGTTCGTAAACTATTAGTGTTTTTTTAGAAATCACCCTGTATTTATGGACATCATTATCGTAAAAATCGTCGTAAAATTTCTCCAATAAAGTTTCGCTGTTTACACTAATATTTGCCACACTATGAACAAATTGTTGAAAATGCATTTAATTAGCCGAACGACTTGCAGTAGTATTGTATGAGCAGCGTTTCTAATTGGATCGTTAGTTACATAATAGTTTAAAATTATATTTTCTAAGAAAGCATTCGAAGTTTGTTTTTTGTTTGTTAAATTGAAGATCACGGAGTTACCAAAAATATATTAAATAAAATAAAAAGTGTTGTTTTGAAGAAAAAAAAAAAAATTAAATTAGTTAACGTTTTTTTTATTTTTTTTTATATAAAAAAATGTAAAAAAATATATTTAATTTAATTTTTTTTACTATAGAGTATAAAAAAATGTTAATCATACATAGTTCTCATAAACACCGCACTCGGCCTATATTTTTTCAAGTGATTTCCAACAGACATTGAAATCTAGAACAAATACATATGTATAATAGGCCATATATCAAAATATGAAATTTATTATTTCAAAAATAATAAATTAAAATTTCAAAAATATGAAATTTATTAAAAGGAAAAATAATTTGTTTTTCTGACATGTTTTTTTAAGCAAAAAACTCAGGTCTGCTTTAACTTTTGTTTACAAAAACAGTAGGTCTAACTACCAAATCCATTAATACAATAATTATTTTACTAATTTTATTTTAAGCAACATCAGAGAAACTTCTTTAAGGCTATGAAACTTCAAAAAATGTTCACGGTGCAGCCGGCAAAATTTATGGTTTCATACTTTTATAAGCAATAACTACAATATTTCCAAAAAAATATTAGCAAGGCACTTACTAATTGTTTTATCCTTAATGCACGTTTGAAAATGTAGACAGACTTGTTGTTTATTCCTTATGTACTGCTGATCCTAGTAAGCTAATGTAATGTAGAGGCACGTAGAAACACCACCAAAAGAAGTTTGGACTGCGTTGTTTTTATGTTTTCCTTTTATGTTTCGTTTGTTGCTGTTATTTTGTTCCTTTTCTTATAATATCAATGTAAATATGTAATGTAGTCGCTTGTGCTTAGAGTTAAGTATATATTTATGTGATGTATTGGTAGTATTTAACAACAAATAGTATAAAACTAAAACAAAACGGTCAATGCACACAAAAATATTCAAACAAATGTATAAAATTTCACTAAGAGAACACGTTGATGGGGCTTTTCTGCTTTTCTTCTTCTACCAATACGCCTTGATTTCTGCGCTGTAGTTTGCTTTGCTCGTTTAATTCACAGCTAAATTTCAAACAGCACGAAATTGTTTAAAATTTACTTTTTAAGTTTAATAATTTGTTCTATGCTTTAATATAATTTCTCTTCTTATACACCGTATTTATACGATTTACTTTTTGATGAAGGTTCTTTTTCGTAGCACTTTGAACACGTTTTTCACATATGCCGTTCACTTGCAGATTCCCTGCACAGTTTGTCGATTTGCCAATTTCATTGACTCTCAATCGTGTTGGTTGCAGACGCGAACTGCACGTTGCCACGCGGCGATCACACGAAACGAAACGCGAATCTGGAACGACGACGATGTACCTATTAAACTTGTACGAGGGGGTACACGTCACGGATCACCAAGTAATGCCAATGCAATGAGTGTGCTCTTTCGCTACTGCCGCTCCAGCTGCTGCTGCTTCTCCTCGAGTTGCTCGTGCTCGTATGGCGGTTATGGCTGTTGCTAGCGCTGAACTTTGCTGTGTGCAGTGAATGGACCTCGTTGCACTTGGCCGTGGTAGCAAATTTTTTTTTGTCGTTTCAATTGCGGATTTTCCACGCTGATTTTACTGCTGCATCTAAAGCTCTTTTTCTTTTCTGATTACACAACTTTTTTTTGCATTCACCACATTCACGTCTATTATTTTTGTGTTTTGTTTTAGCCAATTTGGTTTTCTCTAATTATATTTTTCTAATAAAATTTTGATTCACTGCAATTCGTTTGCGCTGACCGTCGTCAGTTTGCTGCCTTCCTGCTCCGGATACTACTTATTTGCACACTAACCGACTGAATCGCTCGTCGCCGTACCAACACCGGTTGTCGAATTCAAATCTCTATGCGAGAGCAACAACAGCAACAGCAATGAATCGGATGCACTTTCTCGGCTCGTTGCAATCGGGTGCAGTGCAAACAAAGAAAAAAAAATTGCTTCGTTTCGCAGCGTCTGAGAACGTGCGCGCCAAAGTATGATGCGTTTCAGCAATGAACTGATCACAATTCAATATGTAGTGCTGTGCCGCCGGCTTGTTGGGGCCGGTTTCCGTTGTAAAGCTTCGTAGTTCGGTGTGATGGCTGCACTAGTAGTGGTACTGGTAGTGCTGCTGGTGATATTTGTGGTGGTGGCGAGAGCGTATCTGCTCTCAACGCGTTTGCGAAATGCAATCGAATGCAACGATGTAATTACTGCAGCAGCGCCGATCTTAGACCGACGAACAGCAACGAATGCGCTTCACCGTCGGCAAAGCTGTCGCTGATATACGCAAGTGTTGTTGTTGTTGGCGAAAGCAAAAAAAGCCTGCACTTACGATCGCTGCTGTGATTAATACGATTATGTTGTTAGTGTTGTTGGTGTTGTTGTCGTCGTTCTTTTTGTTCCTCAAACACTGACGTCCGGCTACAATGTGTTCTCCTCGTATCTGTGCTCGCTAAGGCGTATGTTTAGCGCTCGTGTACGTTTTGCACCAACACTAATACAGGGACGATTCCAATGCAGCTTAAGTCTTGTCGAACTTGCAACGACCGAATGATTCTAAATCGCTCGTTGTATCTAGTCTCAATGCAGTTTTATTTCATTATATTAGCTCCTTGTTGTTGCAAAATTGCAGTAAGCGCTTAAAATATTGGCGAGAGAGCGCGCGTACGCCAGAGTGGGCGTGTATAGTCAGTGAGCTTGTGGGGAGCTTTGCGTTTTGCAAAAGCTGTCGTCGAACTATCTCGAGCGGCTGTTGCTAAGTAATTAAAATTGTTGCTATTATGGTGATCCCAATACTTGCTCCGCGAGTTCTAAGTGCGTTGTACCTCTCTTTTACTTTTTTTGCAGTTTTGCACTTTTTACCGCCTTTTCTGCTTCGCTATACTTAGTAGCTTAGAAAGTTGTTATATTAGCCACGTGTTAAGGCAGCACTAAGCAACTTGACAATGGCTGCTCTCTCCAAGTGGGACTGCTCTTCCTGCTATAACTCCGTTTTTGTTGCAAGTTAATTGCGTTTATAAAATTTTGAAATTTATAATAGATTTTTCAAATGCGTTGTAAGCGTATTGAATTGTTGTAGCAGTCAGTTCGAAATTCACAGTGAGGTGAGCGTTATCTTTCTCACTTTCTTCTAGCTTTAGGCACACAATAATTATTTTTTATAGCAAAAATCAGCTGTTTTTTATAGCATTACGCTGCACTTCTTATATTTCACTCACAATTTTCACAGTATAAATATGTGGTTTGTTCTGTTTTTTAAATAAAATTTTACTGTTTTATTTTTTTATGTTTTTTTTGCGAAATTGTATGCTTTGTTTTTGTAATATTTGCTGTTTTTATAGCAAATTTGCATGCACTTTATATGTATGCATGCAGTCTCTGCTATAGTTTGATAATAGCTGTGTTATCATATGTAGTAAAACAATCAGATTTCTTTGTTTTTCACAAGTTTTCACAACCTTTGCGTTGCCGTTGCAAGCGTTTCTCCACAAATGTACAGCTAATCCGGCGTTTCTATGTCTATGGTTAGTAAATGGGTTGTGAATTGCCAAGTTTATTGCTTTTTGTTGTAGATTTGTGTTTTTGTTGTTGTTTAATAAAATATTTTTTTTTTTTGCGTGATTTAAAGTCACTCTTTCTGTATTTATAATTTTTTTTTAATTTTTCTTGATTAATTATGTTTTCATTAATTAATTGTTTTATTAATTAATTATTTTTGTAATTGTTATTTTTTATTTCATTATTTTAATTATTAATTTTTTAATTAATTATTTTTAAATATTTTTGTTTTCAATTGCTTGATTTTGTTTTTTATTCTGCGATTGTCACTTTGTTGCGTGTTCTCACTCACTTTATTTCATTTTTTTTTAATTATTTTTAATTATTTGTTACTTGGCTCTTACTAGTATTTTTCACACTTGTATTTGTGTTTATGCCTTTTGCTTGAGTCGCTCACGATCTTCAAGTATTATTTTCCACACTTTTCGCCAATGTTTTCATATAATCAATTAGGTAATTTGCGCACGCCGCGTCATAATGCTGCATTTTTTTAAACAATCATTACACGCACTTGGGGGCACAGAGAGTAAAAATTTGCCGCAGCAAAAAATACAAAAATTAATTATTTTGTCTTTGGAAATATTTTTAATGCTTTCTTTGTCACTAAAAGCGTCTGTTAGCGCTTAAAATTAATTATTTAATTTATTTTTCTTTATTTTTTTTTAATTTATTGTAATCGTTAAGTATCCTTCACAGTGTACTTTTCACAAATATGTGCTATCAAGCACTCATAACTTTCTCTGACTATACGAAACAGTCTTTAAATAGTTTTACTTGCGCACTCGTAGGTCAAAATGTTTCAGTTCTTATTGTATTAAATTTTTAAAGTTTTTATAATTAAAACAATTAACTTAAACGCGCGTAATAATATTTATAGTAAACAAATTAGCTTAAAACAAGTTTGTATTATTAGAAAAAGGCGTAAAAAAGTTTAAAAATTATGCAAGCTTAAGTTGAAAAACTAACTTAGAACGTAGACACTAAGGCGTAGGTAGTATGAAAACTTATTTTACTTATTTAGTGTGGTAAATTATTTGTTGTGGCAATAATTTTGTTGGAATTTTTTTCATTAAAATTACTTTGCTAATCCTGCACAACGCTGTTGTTGTTGCTGCTGTATTATGTAGACTGCGAACTGTAAATTTAGTTTGTTTACTTTATTACTCGTTTACTGCTGCAATGATGTTGTTGTTGTTTTCGAAAAATAAATTTTAATTTTTTTTATTTTGAGTTGAGTATACGCGGACACTGTTGTTTTGCGCTGCGGCTAACGGTTGTTGCAAAACGCTTATAACGGTAACCGAAAATTACATAAATTTTCCGAATTTTTTCGTTTAAATGCAAACTTTTCGAAATCGATTTGTTTTCTCAGACGTTGCGTGTTGAATTTGCGTTTTTGCTGCGTCCGAATTGTTGTTTGCCTTAGTTTTTGCTAATTATGACAATTTTTGTTTTAGATTGTGTATTTTGCTTGGCGCTGTTGAATTTTGAAAATTTTCTATTTTATACTGCAAAATTTGAAAATTTTTTATATTTAGACAAAAGTATAATTGTGCCCGTATTTTGGTTGAGATTTTATCCAATTGAAGTTGTGAAAATTTTTAGATATTTGTGCCTGCGATATCTTCTCATCGTCGTCCGTCCGCGATACTGTGGCTAAGTGTAGCGGTTGCGTTGATGTCTGACGTTTTGGCTAACGACTCTGTCTCATCGACGACTCTTCTGGTTCTTGGCTCAGCCTCGCTGCTGCTGCTGCTGCTGCTCTATCGACAAAAAATCCAGAGTGCCAAAAACAATTGCGCTTTGGCAGCGATAAAAGAGTGGCGGAGTGCAAAACTGCCAAACTAAGTGAGTGAATGAGCGTGTATGCAAGTGTGTTTGCGCGTGTGTGCTTAATTGGCACCGGCGGCAATGGCGTTTGCCGCTGCACAAGTATTGTAGCGCAAAAGTGTATCTGAAATCCTTGTCTGCCTTGCCTGAGTGGCTTCTGCGCATTTGCGGCGTCGTTGCTGCAGTTTGCGGCCATACTCGCAAATTTTTGCAAATGTGTGTATGTATGTGTGCGTGCTTATTTTTTCTTCATTTCCTCGCTACACACATTTTTTGCTGCCGCTGCCATAGCTGCCAGAAAGCTTGCGCTCGCTGTGCTCTCTTCAGTTGCATTCGCCAGGAGTTGCATTAGTGTGAGTGCATTTTGTCTCGTCGAAAAGCTGTTAGTGTGCGTGTGTGGCGAGTGTGATGGTGTTTGCTTGTGTGCGTGCGGTTGCCGGTCTCAGCATGCAGCGCTCTACAGTTTCGCCAACCCTTATGCACATAGTTCCATATTCTTGCTAATTGTTTTTGTTGTTGCTTTTCAACTTCCGTCTTTCTATTGTAGTTCGTCTATCACTTTGTATTTTGAGCTAAGTTTGCTAAGTTTTAACTGTTTGTTTTGCTGTTCTCTTCCGTAGCTCATTGCCGTCCACAGAGTAGCATTTTGCACTCGCACATATACACCCAAGCAGGCACCCATACAGCCGTTCTTGCTCACTTGGCCGGCCGGTGCAGCGAATTCGAGCTCACACTGAAGCACTTGCGCTGAGCTGCTACTATGTTTGTGTATATATGCGCTTGTGCCAATATTTTGTCGCGTCGTCGCTATGCAATCGCTTCTGCGGGCCGTACGGCGTTGCATTGCCGCTACTGAACTTCTCATTTCCTCACTTATTCCTAAACTTTTTGGCTTGGCTTTCTCTCTTGCAGCCAGGCGCTGGTAAATGCAGTTAGAGCGGCAAAATAGCCACCACAACAACAGCAGTGGCAAAATTTTAACTCTTCCAGGTTCTTCACACGAATCCACATGCAAAGAGCAATGGCTATTTTTGACTCTAGCATTTTTCTTAATTTTTTTTTTTTTTTTTGTTTTTTTGCAAAACAAATCTTATGCATTGTAACTCAGTTAAGTACTCTTTTCCGCAGTTGTCTCATTTTTTCTCCATTTCATTGCTTTAGCGGCCTCTTCGCCATGCCCGTCCGTTCGTGCATCTTACCCTCAATTTTTGTGCAGTTACTAGCGCTTAAGTATCGCCATCAGATATGCCTGTGGAACATTTCAATTAACTGCATTTTTTAAAGCTATTCGCACTGCCTCTTCACCCTGCCTGCTCTGCCTGCCCGCGGCTACCGTGCCATGCAATCGCTCTACAATGCTCTTCTTCTGCCATTAATTAACTTTCGGCCATTCGTGACAACATACACACATACATTCGCACATATGCAATGCGTTGTTGTTGGTGCCTGTGTGTGCTTTTTGTGCTTGGAGCGTCACGATAAGCGATAAGATCTCGCATGATTTGCCTAATCGTATCCCTCTAGGTCGCCTCAACACTGCAACAATGACAACACACTGCCTGGCTGCTTGCTCCATGTCTTGTTGTCACTTTGACTGATGCCTTTTGTTGTGCGGCAAACAGGTGTGTACGGTATGAAGTCATACTGACGCGAATTCATCATATGGTCATAATATGGCATTGTCATCACTGTTATAATCTGTTCCAAGTGAATGATTTAATAAACTGTTATTTTTTTTAGACGAGCGCTCCTTCATATAATATTTCTCAAAAAGCATTGTTGAAATGAGAAGTGAGATGTCCATTTGGTCATTGAAATGATTCGAGTAAAACTCACGATGTCTTTCCGCATGAAATATTTAAATTTAAAATCATGTCGATGATGAAGAAATTAAAATTATGAGATTAGGACACTACTTGAAGAAAAAGGATCCATTCCGTTAAAAAATGCAGACACATAGTATAACAATTGAATCGTATATTTTAATTGATGAAGTTTGAATACTATGATTTTATAGCATTTTTTGATACTTATTTTATTTTAGAAATATGGACTAGTAGGTAACATTCCCAAAAACCGGAAGGACCCAAAAACACATCTTGCACATTTTCATAAACCCATCAGGGTGAAAATAATGTAATGTTTCTATATTGATTCTTTCTTAGTGGTAAAAATATTTTTTTAATAAAAAATTTAAGGCCGAAATTTTAGTAAAAATATTTTAATTTTTTCGAGAATACGCCATTTTGTCAAAAAAAAAAATTATTTTGCTTACTCCTCCGATTAATTACTAGATTTAATATTACTTTAACGAAATCTGTTTGGTTTTTTCAATTTCAGAGAATCCAGTTCGGAGATATGGTAGTCACCGCAAAACGTCGTTTAGTAGAGGCGATCGCGGGTATTGGCTGTAGTTCCCCCTTCCACATAAATATTTTTACTAACATTAAGTCTTAAAATATAGTTAAGACACCATAATACGTGTAAAAATTTGTGCAACAAAACATTTAATTTTCTCAGAAAAAATTCTGAAAAAATTGCTTTTTATTTGGCCTTCTAACTGTGCGAAAGCTCTATTCAGAATCGACCAGTCTGTCTGCAAATTGCGACAGACATTGACATCAGAATCCTCCGGATCATGGCCCGGCAAATTTGTCAAGTTCTAAGTTACCAAGAGCATGGAGTGGGATAGAAAGCGCAGAGAGACTGGATTCTACTACTTTGAAAAAAGCCAGAAAAAGATTTTAATATTGAGCATTTTGTTGGCTCAGGTAAGCATGATGAATTGCAATACTATGACTGGAAATTAAAAACATGATCTATACGTTCTGCTTCTTAAATTTCAGTAGACTGGCGTTCTATACCTATATTCTGTGTGGTTGGGTGATATCAGATAGAAGCAAGGGTTCGATGGGCGTAGCATGGCTCAGTATAGCCTTAGGAAAAACGTATTGTTAGTTGCAATAATAAAGCTAATCGAGAAAATCTCATGAATGGAATCCTTCGCCGGAAGCAAACTGTGCAATATTTTGGCAAGAAACTAAGCTTAGTTACACTTAGTGACTTCGGAGGCCCTTAGAACGAAAGAAGCTTTTTAATACACATTTGATAAGAAACAAAACAGGGCTACGAAAAGTTTATGGCAAAAACTGAATATACATATTTCAAAAAGATTTCTTGGAATATTACAGTATTCATGACCTTAATATCGTGCTCAGAGCAAACC